GCCTTCATCCCCAAGGCATAAAAAAGAGATCGAACTTTTAAGGAATAAATTATTTCTAAATTTAGCTTTTTTAATTTTTCAATTAATATTTTATAAGATTTTAATATTTATAGTTAATAATGTTTGGGAAAAATTTTATCAGTTTTGAAATATTCTTTGGCAATTATTTCGATTTTAAGTGTTAGAATGTTCTCACAATGATTAAGTTTTGGGGATTTAACAGATTCAAATTGAAAAATCTAATTTTTCAAGTTGACTCTTTCTCACTTTATAGATGAGACAAAGAAAGCATTAATAATTCTCAATCTTCTTGAAAAAATGATTTGTTCTATTTAATCAATTCAATTAATTCTGCAAAATTGAACAACTCTTTACTCTAATCATTTCTCTTCATTATCTTTGTAATATATTATCAAAAATTTATTTGTTTTTTTTGAATTAAGGTAAAAATAATTATTATTAGAATGCCTAGAATAAACTAGAAAATTGATAATTCAATTCAAATTATATCAAATGCGTAATTCTCAAGAATATGGAATGAATATTCTGGTTGAATTTTTGATGAAAAGTAATCTCATAAAAATTTAAAATGGTATTTCCTAATTTGAATATAAAATCAAAGAGATTTTAGAGATAACAAATTAAAGTAAAATGAATTTAAGGCAAAGATATTTTGTCAATTATCAACCTTTAAAGCAACACTTGCACTCTAAATACACCCAAATTATCCTTAAAAATAAAATTTACAGAGATAAGAAAGTGCTTACTGAGAACAAGAGAAGGAGAAGAATAAAATATCTATATAAATTTGACAATAATTATTATTTCTCAAAATAGGGGGGAACAAAAATGCTCGGCATATATGTGTTTCGACCAATAGTCTACACAATTTAAATACTCTTCTTTGTCCATTGCAAATCCTGATCCTCCAAAATTTTGTCCTAGGGCGTTTCTCATACATGTCATTGGTGGCATTGGTGTTTAGTCTGTTCCATCTTGTGGTTTAATACCAATGATGCCATAATCATAATCAATTGCTTCATTAACATCCTCGAGTCCTCTTATTTCATTTCTTTAAGTGAAATATTCTTTTGAGTATAGGATTATGTCTAAATATTTAGCTTTTTGCAATTGAATAGACTCTATTGGAATAAATCTTGCTAAAACAGGCAACTTATCATTTTAATTAATTTTTATACTTCTTTTTCATTTCTTGCTTTATATGCTGTCCTAATTAGATGCTCATTTTCTTTTGTTATTTCTAATGTATAGTTTGGTGTCTCTGTGAAGTTTTCTAGAAACAAATGTTTACAAAATGGAGCATAACTAAAATAAACTATCATATCTACCCATCCCTTAGATCTTCAACTTTGTATTATTCATTTACCTTTTCAATAAATTTACCTTTTTCATAAAGAATTTACTAGCTAGCATACTATTCAAACTATCGATAAACAAAAAGGGTCCATAACTATCTTTTATGCTTGCATAGATATTTTATATTAATTTTAGAAATAATAAGAATCCATTTAACATACAAAGTAAAGATGATGAAAATAGAGTCATAAGATTATATCAGATTATTCAGTCAGAATGTCTGTTTTTTTTTTTTCTTCAAAAACTTCTTATATTATTTGGGATGATGAGTTTCTGGCTATCTTTTAATCATTCAATTTTTTTGATAGTTCCTAATTTTTTTTAGATAATTGATTTTAGATTTGGGTTATTTTGATCTAATTCAATTTAATTTTAAAGATTTTTAATTGGTAAATGTGATTAAGAAGAGAATATAGAATAGGATGATATTGCAAACTACTCTAAATTTACTTGCGCAGAACTCTACTTTTATTAATAATAATCTTAAGGACCTGAAGAGAGTTATCAAGCAATGCCAGATGAGCTTAAAAGAGTTTAAATCCAATGATAAGCATTTGCTTAATACTTAAAGGATTTTGATTCATCATCTTCCTGTAGTCTAATCAGAACTATTAAATTTGTATTAAGAATATGAATTATAGAAGTTGAAAGGTATAAAACACTGTTATAGCTTAATTGAGTGTAATTCATAGAATCTGCTTTGCCTTGAGTCTTTTTAAAAAATTTTAGAAATAATATTTTGTAAAATACTTGATTTAATACTAGCAGGAAGCTAAACTTTGGTGGATTAAAGTTTGGGAAGCGATAAGATTAAGGGATTCTTAAGTTGCATATATTAGGTGATATAGCGTTTGCCTATCAATAAACTATTTAATCAGGATTTGACAGTTATGAATGATGATTTACTGGGGCCATATATGTAAATAGAGTTAATCTATAATAATAAACAAAAGATTCTTGCAATTGTCTGCATTCTATCCAGCTGTTTTTGAGAGATTTTTTCTGTGAATATATAAGGCCAAACCATTTTCATTACTAATATTCAATTAAATCTCATGAATTAATAAAGGTAAAAGAATAAATCTTTGAAGAATCAGCTGCCATGTTGTTTTTCTTCTCATGTTCATAAAACATAACTCTTTGCATGATCGTTTTTAAGGTAATTATTAATAACAGCTTATCCTAATGTGAATCACTACTAAGAATCTAGAAGGATAAGCTAAACAGAAACTTACTCTGATATAAGCGGCCTTCTTTCTCATCTATTTTCTAATTGCCCTTGGAGGCCCATTTGTACCCTTAAAGGAGAGACAACAGAATTAAGATTTAAGGTCCTTACAAAATTCTATCGAAATTAATGTCACTCCTTGAACCTACTACTAATCAGGAATCGATCCTTATTAAGTTAATAATTATAATTAATGAGTATTCACTATTGTACCAGCCAATACCACCAACTATTTTTATATATATGCTTATGGTAGTATTGAAAATTTTTGCCAGAGAGTTTAGAAAAGGTAATGATTCAGAATAAAACTTAATCACCCCAGCACACTTTCTGTAAGCTGCAGACCTAGTAAAGTTGATATACAACTACTGAATGTTTAAGAACTTAAAATTTATTTTTATTTTTAATTTGATGGAATCGTTGTTAGAAGCATGCTGTCTATGTGTCTTTGATTTTGCACAATGAATATAAGATAAATTCAGTAAAGGATGGCTTTTAGATACAACTTGATAAGAGACTCTCTTAAGTTTTAGTTTGGTGGATAGTTCTAGAACTTATCTCTTTGCCTTTATGAATGTGTTTAATCAAAATTTCAAAGATGGTAATAATTATACAATCCCCTCCAATCCTCTCATAACTGAGTATATTCAAAATTTTGATTCCATCTAAATGAATGTTATGTACCAGATATGCTTAGAATTTTAACTTGTTCAAGCTAAGCTATTTGTAACCATTATAGCGATGGATGCTTTACATAAGGTGTTTGCAATGATTATGTCAAATTTGACGATAGGGTAGATAATCGCAAACGATCTTTGATAGTTAATCTATATATTTTACTAAAACATGTTGCCAATTTCATAATCATCAACAACATTTACAACTAAGCAGATAGTAGTTGAAATTATTTTAATGGTCAAATCTCATCTTGGTTAACATGTAGAGCTGTATAAGAAAGATTAAAAGGATAATGAATACTCCAAATATTTAGTTTAACATAAACTAAATGCAAAGCTCAAATGGCTATTATGAAAATTGCAATATATCTCTTAAAGAATTAGTAATATGCTACAAATACACTATCCCCAGGTGAATTTGTAATAGGGGTAAATCTTAACACCAACCTTGTTTATAAAATTGTGGGTGGTGTAAAATATCTTTAATTTGCACAACTCCTATATTCATATTAGATTGCATGCGCTGCTTTGTTACCAAATCTGACACATATAGTATCTGTTAACTACTTTATTACCATCAATCTAAATATCAATAAATACAAGCTTGATGTCCATTCTTATTGATGTTTACTTTCAAAAATTGTTGAAGTTTTTGATAGATGTGCTGAACCATGCCCTAACTGTACTCTTGTTCAACTGATTGACACTTCCTAAATAATAAAATTCATGAATAATCTATAGATTAGTATCCCACAGTTTAAATGTTTGCATAGTTCTTTCAGATGAATTTACCCTCCAGCCCTATATTTTCCTTTTTAGAATTAATCTTGCGTTAAATGTCATACTGGTATTGATGAAGATAAGCATGATTCATTCTAAATACTATATTAATTTTTTATTACCTACATGACTTGTGTAGACACTGTTTCTTAGTGTTGATCATTTTAAATTAAACATTTCATTTGTAACCTGTTATCTACAATGGGCTGACTCCTTGCAAAACAGTGTTAAGCTGATCCTAGTGATGTAAATCATGTTTTGATGGCTGCATCTTTCTCTGGAGATGATTAAATGCTTAGAATGTATAAACTCATCTCTTAAATGCTAGAGTTATGCACATATAAATTTGGGTGGTATGGATGGATAATTCTTATCAAAAAATATATTCTATAGCATTTCTTCTAACTAGTTTCTATGTAAAACTGGGTATGTTGATATTCCCTTTCAGGAGTGTATTACCCTTGCTAATTAATGCTATTATACTTAAGCAGAATGAATAAGAGTGAGTTTCTTAGGATCTAGCACTGCTTGTTTTAATGTCTATCGCCTTGCATTATATGTGATGTTCAAATTTCATGCACAATTTGCCCTTTCAATAACCGTTCAATACTATATTCTTAACGTTAAGCTCGTTTCTTACATGCTTCATACTGAATTCAAACATTACGTGTTATAATAGCTATTAGAATCCTGTTTTAATCCTTCTTGCGCCCAACAGTGCGCATAATTCCTAAATTTTTTGGTGGTTTCACAGCTTACCAGGCATCAGTAACAATTTGCTATTTTTTATCTCCTAACGATTTTTTTTCATAGAATAAAAACTATGTAATATAAAATTATCTAATGTAACTATTGGATAGAGTTACATATTATCATTAATGTACAAGGTCAACAAGCACCACATTCAATATTTTTACATATTGATTTATGATAGCTTGTCAGCTTTAATATTAATCCCAGAAAAATATGTTCCTTTATGATAGAATGCTAAATTAAGTATGTAAAAGTGTAGAGAATAATTGCTTTAAAATAATAAATGCCATAAATGAGGATATCCCCTCATCATTGATGTCTGATTATAATAAGCAGAATACTTAAAGTTATGTCACCAACAATGATTATCATTAACTTCTCATCAAAGATTTATGTTTTTTGCAAGTATGATCCACTCAATAAAATCTATGCAATATTGAATCTTTAATAACCTTAACCACCTCATAATTGAAAGATGATTGTAGTTGGGGACTATGATGAGTATAACAGGAATGAAATGAAAATATACACTAAAAACAAACATGAGTTCTATAATTATCCTTACCTTCATCAATAGATTTCAAATTTAGAAATAAAAGCAATTGAATAGCTGGTATAACCGGAGCTAATAAGAAGTTGCCTACGCATCATAGGAGCCAGATTGTAGTAAGATTTAATTAGTAATTAAATTGATACAATCAATGATAAGGTTCACGAACCTGGCATCCTCAGTATAAATATCAATTGTAATAATTATAATCAACTAAATTCAGTCATGTTATCTATAATGAATATCACCAACTCATCATACGTGTTTATGTAATTAACATGATAAGGTAGAACAGTTAATAGCCTCAATGTTGTACTTGACCAACTTATTTGAGATTTCATATTTTTCATAATAATTCATTAGCTACAATTAAAATCATTTATGAAAAGTCTTGCCATAAATCATAAATGATTTATGCTAAACTACAGTTTATAGATCTTAGAAAACAAATCTGGGAGACATTCTAAATTTTCTAATATATAAAAGAAACATTCTATGTCACATCTAAGTTAACTTTGCAATTTAGTTATCTAGTGGATAAAAATCACTTCAATTTTTTAACACTCCCATATAGGAATCAAAAATATCAAAATAAATTATTGTTCTTAGTTGAAATTAATTTATTGATATAAATCATTTAAGCATTATACCTTAACAAGGAATAAACGACTAATTCAAGAACTTTGAATAAAATTAGTCAAAAGCCTAATCAAGTAGGCGATGAGGAAGATGATGAATGAAAATTATAAAAAAAAAGGTAGTCAATCCAAAAGGAACAGTATAGAAAGCAGGATTCTGAAGTGCTAGTTTAAGGGAAAACTAAAAGTTTGAATTTACTAAAGATTTGAAAACAGAATAACCAAATTCTGAAGAATCTTCATCAGAAGAGAAAGGCCAGATTATATTACTTTCAGTTTTGAAAAGACTTCTTGAGAAAAGAATCATCTGAAGAAATACTTACTAAAAATAGATCATAATAAGACATCTTCAAAAGAATTTCTTTTATTGATAAGTTGCATTCTGAAATTAAAATATAAACTAATAATAAGACAATATTAATATGAAAAGAGAAGCTGGGAAGAAACACTCAACAACTAAAACAAACACAAAATAAATTTAAGAATCTACAGAAGGCAATCAGAACATGAATTCCACAATTGATAAACAAACTACTTACCAACCACTCCTTAAAGATTTTCTCGATTTGATAAAATTTAGATATTTATTCAGTTTTTCCATTTAGCAATAATTAGAATGTACTCAAAAGTTATGGAGAATACAAAAGTACATTGGTAAAAAAAAGATAATATCCTGAATCACCAAATACTCATTTTATTTTAAAAAGGATGGAAAAGGCTAGGAGAAAAATTGCAAGGTTTTAAGTTAATAAACATCGTAACAAAGCCTTTTGAAAAATATTACAAAAATTTAGGAAATTAGAATAAGCGAGTTCTAGGGATAATGAATCTCAATATTCCACTAAATGTGACTATGAATTTCAACATAATAATTAATTTCATTCTCTGATTGATTAGAGAGCATTCTACAGAAACTGAAATTGAGCATTCAGAATTAAGGTAGTGCTTATTCAACTCAATACCTTGCCAATTAGTACTTAAATGAAACTACATTTATTTCTATATTCTTATGATTATCTAACTAAATACCTTTACTAGACTCCTAGTAAAGTCAAAACAGAGCCTATTTTTTACTAAAATGCTACTTCACTGGCAAATAATTAAGTAGCTAGCAGAAAATATAAATAATGGATGCATGAATAAATAAAAAGTAGAAGAAAGAGCAGGAGGCTCTTCCCCAAGATGCTACTTAGCTTATTAAATTATCCAGTTTTTAAATCCACTGCTATAGGATTACGAGTAGCATAAACTGCTGTATTGCATAATTCCACCATAGCCAATAATATTAATATAACATATCTCTTTTAAAATAGACAACGCTTGATTTAAGTACATAAGCATTGTTTATTTGAACTAATTGATCAGAGTTCTATTCAGAATTTTAATCCTTCATAAATTTTTATAATAAATGGAATTTTATCTGATAGCTGTTTAATTAAATCTAATGCACAATTTATATTCATCAATTATCTACATTAGAACTTATCTATTTTGCTTTTCTCTATTAATTATAAATTATTTATTCTACAGGGCTTTTAACTTTGTAGAATAATTTTATTATAGATCCAAAATGGAACCTGATTCTGACCTAAAAAATTTAATAAATCAATTTCCTCTAAAGCATCAATTCATTTTTATTAAGTTGCAAAATATATGCCTTCTTTTTATTAGTTTAAATTAGCTAAGATGATAAAGTGAATTTATTTGTTGTGTACATACAAATTGGTGAAATGGTTCTTCTAAATCATATAAATGATTGCATCTATGTTTTTCCCAGCAGTCACCAAAGAATTGCACTTTTGCTGGCAGCTTATAAGATTTCTTCTTTAGTTAATTCTCCATCTCCATCTTAAATCAACTTATTTGCTCATTTCTTATGACCATTTTTAGTTAGTATTTATCATTTTGATTGATGATATTTTACTTCAAAGTGTTAAAGAGTTCTATTTCAGTTACTTTACCAAAGCCATCTTCATCACACAAATCGAAAAGCTTTACTTAAGGTTTAAACAAATAATTCTTCAATATTTTAATATTATATCATTTTTCAACACTTCTAAACCTACTATAAGTTCTTTATATCATTTGAACACTTATCGAAGGAATAAAACAATTTTTTCTGCAAGATATTTGTCAGCAACTGAAATAAACAATCCTTGAAATTCCGTTTTCTTTAATCTACGGGGAAATCCTTGGGTAGTTTTCCATTTCGTTTTAAATTTAGACTTTTGATAACTCCTTCTTTGAAGATTATAGATTATACCGGAAATCCTCTCTTGCAATATTTAACATAATAATAATTGAGCTACAAGGCACAAGCCTGATTAATTAATTTTACTTTTCATAGAATATCTTTACTTGTTGTTTGTCTTTTTGTCATAAATAAATCTATTGATCTATTCTATTCTTAAATGTTAATGTGCATTTATTTTGAGTTTTTAATTTAATGACACATGTTCTTAATGGATTTGATCATGAGATGTTTAATTTTTTCATCAAAATCTTCATCTTCAATATTTTTCTATGAGAAAGTAAGTTTTAATGATGATAAATGGTCTAATAGGATTTGCAGTTATAATTCCAGTTTGGAAACGATTTGATGAAAAATTTGTTAAGACTGGGTTTATATATTTAAATAATAAATAAAATAATCAAATAAATGAATAAAATTTATTGTGATCATCAATGTAAATAAAGGCTTAATTCTGGAGTTATCTAAATCAATGGGTTCAAACTGAATGATTTACAACTTTCCCAATTGCATTATCTTCCGAGATCTGAAAAAGGAAGACAATGCTATTGCTGCTTGATTGAAATATTAATTCTAATTATCTAAATGAAGTAACGAAAGAATATTAAAATCAATCCTAGTGAGCCACCTACTTCAATAATTTCGGCTTTGATCTGTCTTCATTAATAAAAAGTTGAGTTTAAAATGCAATTTAAAATACGTAATAGAGGCTATTTATTACTAATATAAAAAATGAATGCTGTAAAATTAATGTTATTCCATTTATCTTTAAACAAACTAGTATCATTGATAAGTAGGATTACTTATCTCTCTGCAATTATACTTATATCTTAAATTAATTTAATATAAATGAAGTGAAAATATACTAGCACCCAATTAATTACTTAAATATCTGTGCTATATATAAAATTCACTATAAATAAACTTTAATTAATTGTTAATATATAAAATTATATATATTTTTAATTCTTTTCAACCGTTTTGATTATATTTAGGAAACTAAGATTTACATCAAAGATATACTTAATAGCTTGATAAACATTATTAACTTGACGTGAATGTTTAAGTTTGACCACTATTGTACTTTGGATTTCTCATTTTGACTTATATTCCATTTGCGATTATGATTGATTTAATTTCGAAAGGAATATCTCTAACTTAGCTTGTTTGATATCCATTACAGATTCTCCACGCCTATCCTTAAAAATTACATTCACTATAAAATTCTACACAAGGAATGAACATTTCTAAAGTGAATCTCTTAGCCCCCCAAGACTCTAATTTTAGAAATTATAATACCATTCTCTACTTTTTCATTAAAGTAACCTTTTAAAGTTATTTTCAAGGAGTTCTTTCCTTATGGTAGATTAAACATATAAGAATACGAAGCGAACAAATCTTAATAATCAGTATTGAAACACATAGAAGTTCCTTCATAAGGGCCGAAAGATAAAGTATCTAGAACTTCATCCTCTGCTATGACTTTTATATTATCAACACCTGGATCCCAACTATCGATTTTTACAATTGTGAAGCCAAAACGAAACTTGAGCCCTACTATATTATTGATTTGTAATGATATTTGATCCTCACAGCAAAATCGACCTTTAAATAAAATACCTGCACACTCTGCTACCTAATTTGACCAATCATTATTAAAACAATCACCACTTTGAGCATCCATGCAGTTTTGATAATAGAAGATTGGATATAAAAATAGAACTTTTATGAATGAAACTCCAGGCATCAATTTCCAATAAACAAAATTTGAATTTATTATTAATTATTAAACTAATTATAATTTCCTTATATATCTCTATTCTCACCATTATTTCATATCTAATTATCTAATTAATGAGTTGTATAAATATTTTAATTAATAAAGCAATCCCTGTAATAAATTGATTTTGGAATGGCTTGAAGGGCATGAGAAACTCCTTTGACTTTAAAGAAAGTGATTAATAGTGAAAAATGTTGGTGTTTTGAAAAAAAAATATAAACAACAAACTTGCTATTATTTGATTGGGCCAAGAATCAGAACATGCCTATTAGTAAGGTTAGACCTAGATTAGTACCTACTGTCAAAGACAAGGAGATTGGCATTTGCAATTAAAATTGCAAATGGAATGATGCATAAAATAATCTTTAAATTAATTTGATTATCGAATTCTAGCTTTCTTAAATCAATATAAGCAAATATTAAGTTTTTAATATTCAATTTTCAAATAATCATGTTTTCGTTCTGTCTCATTCATATGGAGTAAATCGCTTTCTATGTTCATTATTTTTTGAATTTTTCTTTTAATATCATTTAAAGAATGAAATTATATCGATTGGAAAATTAATGATTCACTAATATAATTAGATAAGGTTCAACTAAATATGGATTATCTTCAATTCGCAATTAACAACAAAATTATCAAAGTCATTAAAATATTTATTTATATTAGATAAATATTTAATAAATGTACTCCTAGATGTTGCAATTACAACTTTATAATGAGGGATTTTAATAAAATTCGAAAAAATAAATTCATTTATTTAGAAGGAGATTCAGACAGATTTTAGTACTAATACCTTCAATGTATGATGAAGTAAATCTTCACAAGCTAAATTTGTAAATTATCTCTAAAGGAATTAGTTAAAATTATTATTTCTTTATTGTAGGGTTAAAATTATTAATTTTAAGTGTTTACATTACTTTCAACTATGGATTTCCTTTAAGAAGTTAGTAATAATTAGGCAAACGCTTAAACTGATGGAGGAAACTAGGGCAAACTTCAAAAAATATCATTCAATCCTTGCTTTTTTTATCATTAACCTTCTGATAATAAGCAACTTTCACTTTAATTGCATCAACTGTTTAGGAGAAACTGGAATAAATAATCGCCTCATGTTATTCTAATGTAGATTTCATTACACACTCTCATCTATTCGCACACGATTTTTCAATCACTTTTGTTGAATACATTTTCCTTGTGAGAGAACCTAATAAAAGTAAAGTTTGATATAGAAGAAACCCTAATATTGGAAGACAGTAATGCAAAAATTTTTTTTATATTTTGATAATTATTATCTTCAATCTTATCATGCTATTAAGTTTAGCCATTAGCTAATCAAAATTGGAAATGGAGATCTTAAATTCACTAAACCTTAGCTAAAAAAAAAGCTTTCACTCATAATTTAATGAGGTTGCTAAACTAATAGTATGGTAGAAAATGTATATCACTTTCTTGTTTTGAGGTTTAATCAGAAATAAGTTTTTGGATTGCAAGTGGATGTATTTGGGACAAAAAGAAAAAAAGTGGGGTCAATTTAAAAGTTGTTCATTTATGAACAAGTTATCTATTGTAGTTTTTTTAATAGAGTATCTTCCTGGCTGTTATTATGACTATGAACTTAAGAATTATAAAGATAAATCTAAACTTTTAAAATGCTCTGAGTAACTATTATCTTCATGTTTGCATGGAAGAGAAGGGCTTTTTGTTGTTTAAGATAGGAAATATTAAGAATTTACCAAATTTGAGGATATCGATGAGAGATATATGTTAGTTAACAGGATTAAGATGTAAGTACAGAAAAGAATTATAATGTACAAGTATGATCGGAGGCTGCAAAGATACTGGATGGACAAGTTGTTTATGGGCGAAAGAAACTATAAATGGCCCTAGATTTTACCATTGTAAATAAAGTACAGCTTTGGGCTGCATAGATTAGGATCCTTTAGACAACTATGGAGACTTGCTTAATTGAATCTTATTTTCTTATCATTGGAAGGACAATAAATGTTTGAGTTGCAAATCAGTAAAACCTGGCTTTTGTCATTCAGATTTAATTTTATGAATTTTAATCTGAGGCTGATAGAGATCAATTTTTTGGAGCTGGAACCTTAACCAAACCAACGCTTATTGATATACAAGGAAGTAGCTTGAGTTAAGTTGTTTGTAATTTTTATTAGAAAAATTAAAGATAAAAGGGTTTAATAGGTAGTTTCTTACTTTAATTATAATTATGCAATAAATTGATCATTAAATACAGCAAATACTCCTAAGATACAGAATTAGAAAGACAATATTCATAAAAAAGCAAAATTAGCTCTTAAGAAAATTAGAACTAGGTGTTAAACTTTTCAGAAATTTTTGATAAAAGGATATGTGTTTCCAACTTCGAAAGGTGAATGAGAATAGGATCAAGCATGCTGATTGATCTAGGGGATCTAAATTTCTTAATAAGTATATTACTCAATTGGAGTAGATTCATCAGAATCATTGAGTTAATCTTACAATAATTGAAAAAGTAAAGCCTTGATTCAATATTAATTCATTTATTCGCACGCAGATATCTAAATTTAATATTCAATCATATAAGAGCCTAAACGAGTTAAAAACTCTTATTAATGATATATCAATATCTCTTATTAAAATGAATTAAAATTAAGACAGTTATGTTTTTTATGAAAAATTGCGAACTAACTCTTTTTTGAATGCTAAAGTTTCTTCCTTAATAAATAGTTAGTCTAAATACATTAATTGAGTAATCATAGATTAAAGAGTTAATGATATGAGCAAATTGAATAAAAAAAAATGATGTTAATAAGTTTGCAAAAAATGCTAGCAGGTAATTCATTACTAAGGTTATTGAATCGATACTGCGATCTTGAAGTAAAATTACTCTCTATTTTAAGATATTGAAATCCTAAACTTCATAGTATTCTTATCATTACTTGGAATTACTAAAAGGGAAAGCAATAAGATGCATGGAGTTCATAATCAACTGCGCTAAACTGGTAGGATAAAAAGTTGCATTAACATAATATGAAATGCATAGATGAATTATATAAATAATAAAGATCAGTCGAAAACCCTATTGTCCACTTTAACACCTATTACATTTCTATAAATTAGAAATGGGGTCTGTTAAGAATAGTATAAAATCGACTATCAAGAGTGTATATGATATAGTCAAGTAAAGTTGAAAAGGATAATATTTTGAACTTAGGCTTGCTATTGAATTCCTTTTTATGATGAACCTAAGAAAATATAAGAAATAGAAATAATATAAACTTCACGTTGATTTTGTGTTCATTACCTTGAGACACATGGTTGCGATTTTTTTACAAGATTATAGAGGGTCGAGTTGAATTTGAAAAATAATTGAATATCAAGTCTCATCGATAATAATAAATTACCGTATTAGTAAAATTTCTTGATTTTGAGTTTTAATTAATTGAGTGTTAAAAATTAATATTAGAACTTTTTATTAGTTACAATTTAATAATTGAAAGTAAGAATTAGTCTAAACATTATTTGAAAGGTGGCCTAATTGTATAGGTAGACCAATTAAGAAAGCTGTCTCATTGCCAATAGTCACATTTAAGAATATCTTAAATAATTAATTTATAAAACTGGTCTAAGAAGAATAGAAAAGAGCATTGATAATTATGATTCTAAATAGAACCATGAGAT